AATGTCAGGCACTTCTGAGCAACACAGGTCTCCTTGTGCCACTGAAACCCAACATTATTTTTATCTTGGTCTTTTAAGCATTAATAGAAGACTTCTTCTGCTTCATCGGCTGGGAAACAATTTTGCCTGAAGGTGCCAGTGCACTTGTGCCAGCCAAAGAAAGAAAGACATGGGTTTACGGCAGGGGCACCATCCTTATCATCTAACTTGACAAGCCAGCTGTGTACGGAGCAGACTGGCCTTAGGGAGGGGACATAGGTTGTAAAGACCATTTTTATTTTTCACACAGAGCTGCAGCTAAATCAGAACTGTATTAGCTGGACACTTGTCTGACTGACAACCCGATTCCGTTGGCTGTTTTCTGATCTTTCAATTTAACTCTACCCATTCACAGAATAAAATGTTATATAAATATTCAGACTTCTCTTGAAGCATTTCTGTAGTCCTTCCAGTCATGAACTGCAAGAGCCTAGAAGTCATGGCCAGGCACACAGCCCAAGAACATAGTGCCCCTTGATCCTATGGCTGATGCATGAGGAGTGAAACAAAGAGAGTTCCACTAACCCTCTGAGATGAAGGCTTTCTGCACAACTCACAGTGACTGAGTGTGATTCAGGCTTAGTTTACACACGGTAAGAGAAAGTGTTGTGCATCCAGCTCTTCTTTGCCCTCTCCTTTGCAGGAAAAGAAGAGGCTGAGCGTACATTTTTCCTAGAAACAGGCTTTCTGCAGAACTTGGGTCCCAGGGATCTTCAGTTGTTGGGTCATGAAAATTCCTTAAAACTGAGCTTTGTGTCTGGCCAGTCTCCTAAAAAAAAATGAATGTGTAGAAGATTTTTTTATTTCTATTCCTCAGCACTAAATAGGAGAGTATTTTTCCACTTCGTACACAAGACTCACATTCTGAGCATTCCTTCAGTAACATTCAGTCATAATTTGACAACATTTTTAAATGACAATCTTATTGTTTTAATTACTGTTGTGTAAAGAGATGGAAATATGCATCAGATTCAGTTCCAGCTTAAAAGTTAAGTCTGCAAGAGGCAGCTGTTGCTAGGGGAGGAATAACTCAAGACAGAAGCAGAACATGATTGTGGAGATGTCCTTCCACTTTATCTGATAGGAATAGGTAGGAAAAGACAGTCATCATTTGCTCTTTCCCAGCCCAGGGCCATTCAGAGACCAGAATCATTGGCCATTCTTCAGGCTGGGAAATCCAGTTCATCTGTCCTCTTATGGAACAACTGGGTCACAAATTTTGTTATCTGCTAGTTTGAATTTCTTATACAATGAGTGATTCTGAATCACTAGACTATAAGAAAAAAAAATTCCTTTGTAGAAGAAAAGGTTTGGAAGAGACCCAGTAGCTGCAAAAAATAGGGGTGACAGCTAAATAGCTAACTAGTGATGGAAAGCCCAAGCTTAGTAATTTAAGAAAACAAACCCAAGACCCATTTTCTCTAGCAGGTAATTAGTAGTAGCCTCGACAAGGTAAAAAGAGGCATCTTTCTGAAGCAAGGCAATACCACAGCAGGGTTCTCTCAAGATTCCCATTATGGAGTTGTGATGAGGGGCCCCCTTTAAGCTCAGGGGAAGGACTGGGACTCTAACATGTTAAAGCTATGTGCTGAGCTGCATGTTGGATTTCCAACTGTGTGAGTAAAAGTAACATGCACTACCCTGATTTGATCTGCTACTGGGAACACCTTTAGACTTTGCCCCTATTGCTTAAGTAGCAATTACTAACACATTTCCTTACCAGGCACATGGGAGTTTTCTAATATGTTTCATCACTTATACACTGTAACATGTTACAGCACTGTACTCTATTCATATGACTTCTCCAGTGAGATGGCTACATTTGAGATACTCCTGGACCAGATAATTTTTCTGTAAAAAGCAGAGAGATTATGGGTAATTATTTCCTGCTGTCCTCTCTGTGTCTTTATTACTCTATTAAACAAACAGACAGTGTTTGGTATACGAGTAAGAAATGTAGTGTAACAGAAAATATGCTAGAAAGGAAATGATTACTAATCACTGTTTTTTGCCCAATACAGCTAAAATGACCTATTTACTCAGCTCATCAGCTGAGCAAACTACTGACTTCAAGATGTGTGAAACCATCCTTGTTTTTTGGTTCCAAACACAATTTTGTTTTCGTAATGAATTCAAGGAGCAAATATGACCTGGGGTAAAAGAGAAGCACACAAGAACTAGAGTCATCCCACGAAGACATGAATGGGAGGCAGACAGACAAGCCTAAAACATTGTCTAACAGTTTATTAAATAAGATTAACGATTTTAATATATGGAACTCAAGAAACCATCAGCTAGGTTAACATTTGCCCAGGACATTCCAGTACATGTTAGGAATTAAAATGTAAAACTACTCTTAAAATAAAACTGTACTATTGCTTTGGGCAGCAGGAAGATAAAAAGCTAGCCCAAGCTCTCAAGTGACCAATCAGACGGAAATTAATTACAGACTTAAGGGACATGATTCATTATCTGCTGGAGTTAAAAAGTATCAACTACCTTATGAACACATAACAAACCCCCAGATGGATATGCCTCTCTTATACTCCATTAAAATACTTGGGTGTCTCAGTATTTCCAGGACTGAACATAATTTTTGGACAAATAATCACTATGTGTGCTTTGTAGTTAGCACTTGGAGACACACATTCGGTGTTCAAACATTTTGATTCAGGAAGCTTTAATTTTGGGATGGCTTGTTTTTGCCAGGAACAAGAGGAGGTACTCCTTGAATACCAGCTCATCTGGAATTTTCAAATGGCAAGTTAAAATCATATCTTTACAGGTGGCTTTGGGGATTCCCTTTTACTTTTCTCTGACTCAAGAACAGTGCTAAACATTTCTTTCCCTTAAAAAAAAGAATCCCTTTAAACTGAAACAAAATAAGAACACTTTGCCAAGAAAATATTTAAAAATATAGACCTATAAAAAATATTCTTCCATAATTTCAAGTGAAATTACGGCATGGCAAGGAAGAATGGCAAGGAAGAATGACCTCACTCCCAGTAAAAACTAGTCCTAACAGGAAGAAATTACTTACTGGCAATACAGTTATCTGAAACCAAACATATTCTCAGGAAGACAGAATTTAATATTGAATTAATGCTTCAAAATATATCCAGCCTTGACTTCAAAAGTCACAAGACTTGCTTCAAAGAAAAAGACCTGCTATGCAGATCTGAAACTTACACTTAAGTGTGCACACAGGTTATGTCTAATTTGGCAGGTAATTCAGCTCAGCACAAGCAAACAAATAAAACAAGGCAGCTGCCGTAAGGCCTCTGCAACTACAAGAGTTTCTGCTTCAGTCCAAGTTTAGTCTGGGTGGCTGGAGCTTGAATGTTCCCCATCGTGGATATGGTTAAAAGCTGTCCAATGGACCAACCACTGGCGCGTCTGGAGATGATTAGCTCTCCCTTAGGATGATGAAGACTTGGTGCTGTTAATCCAAAGACAGGCTTAGGTAATCACAAACCACTCCTGCTTCCTTCTTCTCAGTTTATTGTCCTCTCCTGCTTTGCCCTCCTCTGCTCCAGGACATCATGCCTGTGGCATTTTAAGTGACCAATGGGATGAATAAAGGTCTGCTCTCTTATAAGCGTTTGAGTTTGCTCTTGTGTGCTCACAACAATGGCTGTACCAGCTCAAGGACTTCTAGGTGAAACAAACTCCAGCTGTAGGAGGGAAAAAACCTCCAACACCAACTGAGGCTGACTTTGCCAAGTCACCTCAGGACTCAGGGGCTTTTCCACTCCAGCCCCACTCCACAGCCTGTCATCTGCCTCCCAGGGATTTTCAGAGCTCACCTCCTACTGACTGTCCAAATGCGCGGAATGGTGCTTGGTCACAGGAATATTCTAGTACAGGAGTCTTTGGGAGAGGGAGGCTTTGCAGCACTCTTCTGCTGGCCACTGCTCCCCTGAAGATCAGATACTTGTATACAGGTACCTGATTTCTCACAAAGTTCCCACCTTTCCAAAATATTTGCCAACTGACCTCAAAGGGGGCAAGGGAAGGTAACAACACAAACCTAAATGCCCCAGAGGAACTCAATCACAATGAAACCTTGAAACCCCCCTGCAAGTTTGAAAATGCTGAGAAACTTCTGCAAGGCATTCAGAAGGGAGCTTGCTTTCTCATCTTTTCCCCCACCCTTATGACGGGGTGTAAGGGCTGAGTAAGGTTTGTCAAAGGCCCTGATTCTCAAGGCAGCCAGTGCCCCTGCCAGTGAGGAAGCAAGGACCCTTCTGCAAGCTCCCCTGGTCCACAAGTGCATTCTCTTGCCCAGAGACCTTGGAAGATGAAGATGTTGCACTGGCAAACGTTCGCCATTCGTTTATTTACTTATTTCATGTGTTTGACCAGAAGAAGAGCTATGGGTCAGACATCCTCGTTAACGCCACGTTCAGGAAACCCACCTTTCCTGCAGCCCCACGAGTGCCCCTGCCCCAAGGCCCGAAACCCACGGCCAGGAAACGCCTTCCCCTGCCTCCGGCTGCGAAGGGCGCGCAGATGGGTGGGACCCCATGGCGCCCAGCGGGACCCAGCGGGGCAAAGGATGCGGGACAGGTGCCGTGCCTGGCCCGGCGCGGGGGCGCAGCGCGGCCGCTCCGGCGTCAGGAGGAGCCGCTCGGTGCCGCTCTTTCCCCCGCCGGCCCGTCTGCCGAGCGTGTGTCAAACCCACGTGCTCCGGCAGCCCGCGCACACGGGGAGCGGTCCCCGCGGCCGAGCCCCACCGCACCGCCGGCCCCGCTCCTCCGCCGGCCCCGCACCGCGCCGCACCGCGCCGGCCCGCACGGGCACCTCCGGCGGCGGCCGCACCGCACAGCGGCCTGCGCCGTCCCCGCGGCGGCGGCGGCGGGGAGGAGAAGGAGGAGGAGAAGTAGGAGGAGGGCGGTGTTTTCCTGCGCGGCGCCGCGGCCGTCGCCCCGCCGCCGGCGAGCGTCAGGCGAGGGGGGGGCCCGGCCCGGCCCTTCCCCTGGCCCCCGCGCCCCGAGGATGGCAGCGCTGCCCGCACGAGTGGCTGGCGGCGGTGTCCCTCCTCTTTTTTTTTCCGGCAGCGGCGGCGGCGGCGGCAGCGGCGGCGGATCATTGTTGTGTGGGAGGAGGGTGGCGGGGATGGACTTGATCTCTCGGGTCTCCTGCTGAGGCGGCAGCACAGCGCGCCCCGCCGCCCAGCCAGCGCCGCGCCGGGCAGGGAGGGACCGGCCCGGCCCCCCGCCCGCTCCCTGGCTCTTTATTTTTAGGGGGCTCTGCTTCTCCTTTCCCTCGCCCTTATCTCTCCCCCCCCCTTCTCCCCGCCCGCACACACGCACAGGGACACGCTTGCACCCTCCTCCGGTGCCCTTTCATCCTTCCCCCCCGCCGTCCTCCCGCGCCGGCTCCTGCCGCGGCAGATGCGCCGCGGGTCACCGCGTAGCTGGGACTATGGTGAAATTTCCAGCGCTCACTAACTACTGGCCCCTGATCCGGTTCCTGGTCCCTCTCGGCATCACCAACATCGCCATCGACTTCGGGGAGCAGGTAAGGCAGCGCCTCCCCCGGGAGCGACCCTCTCCCTCCCGCCCGCCCGCCCTTCCGCAGCGCCGGTCCGGCGGGGCTCGGCGCCTCCGCCGGGAAGCGAAGGGGAGCCGAACCGGGTAGAGCCGAACCGTGCCCCGTCGTCCTGCCCTGGCTCATCGTGGCGGGCGGGGACTGCGGCCCCATCGCCGGTGGGGGCAGCGGGCGGCCGGTGCCGCCGTGCCTGCCCCGGCGGCGGCCCGAGAGCATGGGCTGCCCCGCACCCCCGCGAGATGCACGGGGAAGGACAGCGGGTTTTGGGGATTTTTTTTTCCCCTCGTATTTCAGGATTATATAATCTCAAATTACATAATGCATTCGCCGGGGGCTGGTTTTGGTTTATGCCCCCGCTGACACAGCCGCTCAGGTGCAGCAGCCCCTAGCGCAGTGCAGCCCGGTGGCGGCGGCGGCGGCTGGAGCGGGGCGTGGGGAGGGCGGCCCGGCTGCCGCCGCCCGCTGCCGAAGGGCGCCGCGGACCCCCCTCGCCCCGCCGCGCTGCTGCTGCCGCAGCGGTTCGGCCCCCGGCGCCGGCAGCCCCCGCCGTGGCATCGCGGGAGGAGGGCGGCATCCCGCAGGGAGCCGCTCCGCACCCCCTCGGTGAGGGGGCGACTTCCCGGCGAGTCTCCGAGCAGGTGAAGCTCCGGCTGCGCCCCTGCCTCCGCCGGTGTTCGGTGCGCCTCAGCCGTGCTGCAGTTCCGTAGCGGTGTTGGTGACCTAAGGCTGTCCCCTGTTATAGGCACCGAGAAGATACCCCTGGTACCCGAACCTATCTCCCTGACGTGCAACCTTCCCGCTTCGTCCTCCCAGTCCCCGCTTGCAGCGTTTGCACTGAAAACATGTTCAATGCTTGACGTACCCAGTCCTCCTCTGCCCGAGCTTTCCCCGCAGGGTGCTCGTTTGCCACTGCGCTGTGGTGTGGGAAATCTCTGCACTCATGTTTCGGTATTTATGACATTCCAGGCCCCGGTCTTGTGTTAGGCTGCACTATATAGGGCATATCACTAATTACATTTTTAGTAGGATGGTATACACTACCACTTACTCATAAGTGTTGAGCTGGGCAGCCACACTAGATATTGCATCTCAAATAGATTTATCCTTGTCCTAAGTCACTCGGTTTTACTAAGAAGCTCTTGTTTTCTAAGAAGAATAGGCACTTGCTCCCGTGCTCCTTGAGCAAAGATATCAGAAAATTAGTGGGTACTTTCAGGCATTTGTAAAGAGGAAGTGAAAAGAAAAATATTACAGTGGGGAAAAAATAACTAACATTAATCATACGTTTGTCATGGCTGTGTCAGTTGCATTTTGATTCCTAGTCCCTTAAATAAACTGTGATACTAAAAAATACAATTCCATCCTTGTCTGACAACGACATGCTTTCCTACTGAGTCAGTCTTCTATAAATCATACTCAGTGGGGAAAAACGGAAATGTAAAGATAGAAGTGACAAGAGACAAGGTGATTTAAATGCTAATAACTATGCCACATTAATAACATACAGCAGAAGTTAAATTGAAAGCAGTTCACTCAGCAAACTGAGTATGACAGGTGCATAGCTACAGTTTGCTTCATACAAGGTCAGTGTGATTCAAGATCCATGCCAGTCTATAAAAAACATCCCCTTGGCTTCAGTGTGCTCTGGACCAGGATTTAAAAAATCTTACAAGTGAGGGGCTTTCTGTCTGCTTAGGCAGTGGTGACATGGGAGGCATGTTAACATGTGGATGATATGTGTGAACACTTATTTAAGCAACTTTGACAGCATTAGGAACAAGAATATCTTAGAAAATGTGTTTTATTTCATAGCCAAGTAATAGAATTGGCCTTCCAGCAGAGTTGGAGTTATCCCTTGTCTCAGATGGCAGCCTGGTGGGGAGGTGATTAATTGAAAAGGGAGAAATCTAGGCTGCTAGACATCTAGCTCCTTTCAGGAGCAGAAACTGGAAAGATAATTTTTGTACCAGCATTACTTACATGGAAATCAGGAAGCCTAAGCAGGGACAAAGTTACTCCAGGTCTGAAGGGTTCCTCTTACAGACAAAAGCATAGTGATTTTATTTTCTGGTATATAAGACATTAAGTTGTTTTTTACACTTGTAGGACATTACTGTTGGACTTGTGAGGTTGAAAATACATTGACTTGCTGAGCCAGTCCTCTTTCTGCTTTACAAATTTGTAATAATTTTAATGCCAGGTCTGAATGAAAGCAACATAGAAGAACGCGTGTGCCAATAGATAGCTCTGAAAAGGCTACCGTACCTCCTCCTGTGAATGTGTGCCGCAGATAACAGATTTCTAAGAATGATAAGGGAAGAAAAGTTTGCATGAAGTAATACTACCTGCTCTGAACAATACTGTGAAGGAGACAGAAGAACTATAGGTCAGAAGTAAGAGATTACCATAAAAAATTAGGGAGAGAATAGACCTTGCCTGACCAGGGAAGAGGTGTGTAAGAAATGCTATAAGTCATAAACCCTTTTGATGTGTGGTATTCATACATTGCTTCCTCAAGTGGGGATGAGATTTGGAAGCAAAGTGTTCAAAGCAGAGCCTTTTTAACAAACCATTATACTTAGATACCTGAGTTTGAAAAGTGAGAAACAAACATAATCTCACCTTTTTTTTTTTTTTGAATTACCTTTAGAGGCTTTTCTGGATGTTGGTAGTTGTAGTCAATAGCAAATAACACTAGGAAATTACCAGACCCTTGGTATGCAGCTGTCTCTATAGACTTCTTGCTACCTTAAGAGAAATTTACAGTAAGGCTAAAGAATATTTGCAGAACATAGGTTGAGGCTGTCATCATTGCCCCGTATAAGATGTTTGTAATGGCAAGTGTGTTTAGTTTATAGGAAGTAAAAATGCTGGCAGAATGCTTAAGAACTAATAAGCTCGGCTCCTGCAATGACTTCCAGAACCGCTGTAGCCAGTGAAGAGCCTCCTGTTGACCTCTGGACTCTAATCCAATAATGCCTTAGGACAAGGCTATATTACTGCAATCCAGTGAGGTGACCTCATTTATTCATCTCATAAAATCTCTTAGACAAATACCTGTTTTTTGCCCCTACTAAAAAAGGTCATCCTGATGCATGAGCAGGTGAATTACCAGCATATTAGAGAGATAAACCATTTCTAACTTATTTTCATCATTTCCTTCTGCAGCCCGTTTCCAATTTATTTACAGTGCTACATGGCTTTTATGAAATGAACTGCTACATGGCTTTTCTGAAATGAACTACTACATAGCTCTCTTCATAGAGAAAGGCCTTCAGGAAAATAGTCCCAAGTATTTTGGCTAAATGTTCTTTCTCCACACAAATATGTGTCTCCACACAAATATGTGTCTTGAACTTAACACCATCAGAAGAGAGATGCTCACTTTTATTCTGCTGTTGAAAGCATTCAACTCTCAGTATGTTACCCTGAGATTCACAATAATTACTGTTGTATTTAGAGCTCAGTTGTTGGAAAGCAGGGTTTACATTAAAAATTCTGGCTCCCTTGAAAAATGTTGTTGGATGCACTTGCTTGGAAATAAATAAATAAATGGATCCAATGTGATGAGGCACAACACAACCTCAAACAACTCACCCAGCAAATAATAGCACCGCTACCCTGTGGGCTCCAAAATCCGTCACCACCCACACAGTTTCAGAGCTGCTCACATATATAGTGGTGGCCTGACTTGTAATGTCTGTGTGCATTCGCATCAGCATTATTATAGAGGGGGAAAGCTGAGGTGTGCATTAGTTCACTAACGTTCCTGGAAGCACAGAATCAACCTTAGGCAGCATTTAATACAATTAGCAAGTGTGGTTGGTAACTGGTAACGTCAGAGGATGCTCATGGGGTGGCAAAGGCCAGGCAGAGAGCAATATTTTGATCTCAAGGCCTGTCTGCAGTAGTCCCTTAATTATCAGTGGGAAACACTAGGGTTTTGTTTTTTTTTTTTTGGGTGTCTTTTAACTTTCTAGCTAGCCCCTGGATCATTAGTTGCAGTTGCTGTCACTAGCTGTTGGTTGGGCAGTTTAACTTGCCAACATAACTGTTACATATGCAGACATAACCTTGCTCAGCGGTTTGCACGTCCTTGGAAACTAAAACCGAGTAAGGAGAGCCTTGCTGCTGCTTTCTCCTGGGGTCATTCGGGTGCCTTGGTTCTGCAGAGAAGTTGCCATATGTTGTGCGTGGTGTAGTGATTGGTATCAAACAGGCGAGCCATAAAGGAAATGCTAAACGTTTTGGATTCCAAATTGTTTTGCAGTAATTGCTTTGAAACAAACTGTTATTTTCTTGTATTTGATTGGGGTTTTTTGGTTAGTTTTTTTTTTTTTTTACTTAAAAAAAGAAAGTGTTGCCAGAAAAAGAGAACAAGTCATGAATAATGTATCAAAAAGAATTAGTGAGCTTATTGTCTGCCCATGCCATTTGCAAACTTAGTAGGGGGTTAAACATTTTGATTAATGCCTTATGAAGCTTGTTTTGGGGGTAAGTATTATTGTCTGGACGTTCAAAACAAGTAAGGGAGAGTTCACATTCCCAGCTGTTCACCAGGGATTTGGGCCAAGTTGTGTAACCTTTCCGTGGCACAGTTTCCCTGCCTTTGAAGTGTGCCTAGACACCTACCTGTATGTAGATGTAATGAAAATTCATGTGTCAGAAGAACTCTAAGATGAAAGGTGCTGTACGAGTGCAAAATACTCCTGTTATTGATGTTGTGAGAGGTCAGGGACTTGTTTAAATTGTGTAGGACTTTAGTACCATATAAATAAGAAAGCTGACGAAGTCCTGTAATTTGTGTAGAACATGACTGTATGTTATTACCACAACCACATTACTAGTAGGGTATGCTGATGAAAATGCCCTGTTTATTTTAAATGAATGTGAACTATGCAGCCTTTTAAATTAAATTTAGATGAAATTGTGGTGAAGAAGCAAACATAAACAGAGTATATTATCAACAG